GATACAAGGAATAGGTCCAACACACACAAGACCAGATAAATGTTTTCCATGGAATCAAAGCCTCCCTGGCCACTTTTGTCTTCCAACACTTCGACACAAACACATGGCAGCCATAAATACGTATGAAGGGTGTCTGGCCTCGAGATAACAAACACTACGAAGGAGGGGGGGAAATGCAAACAATTATAAACTTGACGGAAAACAGCCCGTTCGAGGTTACCAAGGGAAGAGGGGGGAGAGTCAGGGCGGCCGCGGAGAGAGGATGGTGAAGGAGGGCATCTTTTTTAAATCCTTTATATTAAGTTCGCTTGCTTGCTTGCTTGCGTGCTTGCGTGCTTGCTTGCTTGCTTACGACCGTGCAAACCTTTCGGTCGTTTTTTAACCCACTTCCCGTGATCCAATCGAGCTGACATTTTGCACACAGACTCGTTGTGCGAGACAATGTTCGTGAAATTTTTTTTCCAAAATTTTACACTGTTTAGGGAAAACAAATTAAATATTTAATTACCAATTGCTTAATACTGGCAAACAATCATCTGACCCATAGGTGGCAGCCATCTCAAGCCAGAGGACGAGAGGACTCTAGCCGCCACGCATAATAAGGATTTATAGTGAAAAACTTTGTTTTTACGGGTTATACTTATTTTGTTTTTCTCTCGCGGGGGGCGCGCAAAGAGGGGAGGGAATTGCACATTTTTAAGCACGAACACTATTCACAGATCGTTCAGTCTTACGAGAGAGTCTTGCGAGGGAGCAGGCTGCGTTCAGTCTGTCTGAGGGACATGGCACCAACATCAACCATGGGTGTGGCCTCGCAGAGAGAAGGGACGATGTGTTGTTAAGAGCTGAGTTTGGCATGGGCCGACAGAGTATCGCTGAAAGTTTTATTCTACATTTATCCTGATGTGTTGAGTCGCTTGCAAAGTCAAGGATAGCGATAAGTTGTTTTGTACTAAGCTTTCACAGTCGTTTAAAAGGTGGGCGAATACAATTACGAGTTTTGAGAGTGAATGCCAGCGGACGGGCAGCTGCAGCTCGAGTTGAACTGACGAGCAACAAGCTGTTTGTATGCCCCTCCCCCACCATCACAAGCTCACGACGCAGCGCCCGGCGTCTGCTTAACACAAATAATTTATCAAGGAGACAATCCACACACACATGAACCAACCCCGAGCCAATAATACGAATAATTATAAGAGTGCATGAACCACTAGCTGATCGTGAAGACATTGGTGCTCATCGAGTGATATGAATATGGTCGTTTATAAGTATGTAATAAAGGACTCTTGCATTGGGTCTGTCTCCGTTGTCCTTTATTGTGGTTCGTACAACTTTGCCCGCATGGCGTCTCGCTCAGAGTCTCCTCCGTCTCCCGCTCGGCAGCCCCACTGCTGCCGTCGCTCCCGCAGACTTGCTGCTGGCTCCCGATGCAGCCCCGCTGCTGGCTTTTCACTCAGACTCTCTGCCTCTGACCTGCAGCCCCACGGCTGCTCTCTATGCAGCCCCGCTGCTGCTCTCCTGGTCTCCTCCGTGCCCGGACACCGCTGGCCAACGGTGCCGAGTCCCGACCTGTGGCGATCACGCCACTTTCCACCTCCTGCCCTGCGTGGCCTCCTCCTGTCTTTATTCCCACACTCTCCTCCCGCTCTTCCGGTTCCTGCCCTTAAAAGCACTCCCTCTCCCCACGTGACCCAACTCCTCCCACCTGTTACGTCATATCCGCGAGGCCGTTTACGCTCGCATTACAAGTACATTAGTCGTTATTATTTTTTTAATGGCTTAAAAATTACCAATAGATTAATCGATGTAAACTAATCGTTTGAAACCTTCGTTACAAATCTACATGCTCACTGGGAGAATATTGTGTTAAACCTTTCTTTAGATCACAGAATCTTTATCACGAATTAATTGATGCCTTAGCGCAACATAAGCATCTTGCATAAGCAGGCACACACGGCTGCACACCATTGTTCCAAGAAATTTGGTTAATTATATAAACTTGCCGATGAATCTATTGACGTATAAGTAGTACCAATCACATACCTGCGTTTGCCATAAATATGCTAAATTCCTCTTGATATGCAAATTCCTTTGTCAAGGCGCTCTTCTCCCACCAACCCAGCTTAAATATACGCTGCCAAGCCTGGTGGTGTTCATTCAGACGCTGTCTTTCTGACAGACCTGTTCTTCACCTGAGGATGGCTGCTTGCGTTGTGGCCGAAACGTCGTGAGAATTATTTTATTATGTTTTATTTTTATTACTTTATTATTTCCATTCTACGTGACTTTACCGAAAGAACCAAGAAGATATTGATGTAAACGTTTGCCTTTGGGATGTAATAATAATAATATTTTAATTGCCTTTCGTATGAATATCGTCGCATGCATGTATAATAAAATACTTCGTCAGGCACTGCTGGTCTCCGTTGCTCTTTTATTTAGTTTCCTCCTCGCACCCCGCTGGTCCTGACAGCGGACCAGCGTCTCCTCGCGCTCGCCCCGCACGTGCTCCCTCGTCGGCTCCCTCCTCACACCCCGCTGGTCCTGACAGCGCACCAGCGTCTCCTCGCGCGCGCCCCGCGCGCGCTCCTCCGTCAGCTCCTCCACTCCCCCACTCCGCACACCCAACGTGGTCCCGCTTCTTCACTCCAACAACTGACCCCAATCCCTTCCGGCCTCCCACCTATATCCTCTTTACCACGTGACCCTGACTAATTCAATTCCGGATCGTCAGATCCGGCCTTCCCATACTGCCCTGCTGGCTCCACCTCCATTCACCTCGCTTCCAATTGGACCCGAGGTGAATGGCAGCCCCCCCTCCCGCACGCCCCCTATACTGGGCTCTGCCCCCCAATACCCCGGGCCGTGTGATTGGGCCAGAGCCCAGCAGCGAACCCCGTTTACGCTCGCATTACACATGTTAAGGACTTTTCCCTATCGCCGTATATGCTCGCGTTACTCGGTGGAATTAATCAATTGTTCGGTTGTCCAGTTTGACAACGTAATCATTGATGGTTAAATGTACGGATCAATGAGGGCAACTTCCCCAGTGGTACTGTGCTGATAATTCCAAGCATCAAAGTTTGCATATTAGAGTGTTATGTTTTTGTTTAGAAATTTGAATTGCTTAACACAGTGTCTGAGTGGTTTCTTTCCGACTTCATGCATAATAATCTTACTTATAAGAACTGTATCCAGGATTGATATTTGAATTTGAAGACCTGACATAAAAACACTAAGACATAATCGGTAAATGATAAAGCGAGAATAATTGTATTATCCCGATTAATAATACGACCCTAGACAACGAAGCCGAGGTTAAATTAGCATAATTACATCACACTTGCATAACTTCATACAATTCATTGTATTATCCCGATTGATAATACGATCCTAGACAACGAAGATAAGCCGAATTATAATAGCTGCATACATTAGTATAATCACATACATTTACATAAAACAATACGATGACCTCCCTGATTAGCATAATTTATGCGCATTTTTCCAATCTTCATTTATTTCGTCATTATTTTAATAAATATTTCAAGACCCGACATATATGTAATATAAGCATATATCCGGCTCACTGACGTATCACAACTCGTCATGGTGATTGGCTCTGCCGGTCCTGGTTTACAGCCAATGGGGGGAAGCCTAGGGGCATGGCCCTGACGTGATGGAAAGGTGACAGCTATAAGGATTGGTTCTGCTGGCTTTGGCCACAGCCAATGAGGAGATGAGTCAGGGGCGTGGTCCCGGGAACTGACGAGGGAACCTGGAAGATTCCATACAGGCTAACGAGGATTGGCGGAAACGTACCACGTGACCCGGGTATTAAATAGGGGTAGAGAGGAACGACACGTGGTCAGAACGGGAACGAAGAGAGGAAGGGGGCCACGCGCGAGCGGGGCTCTGAGTTGCCACGTGGCGGTGCGTCTCTCTCTCTATATCTGTCCCTCTCACGCTGCCTATCAGCAGCGTGAAGTAAACTGTAATAAGTTGAATAAAAGACGGATTCCAGAAGTCGCCTCAACGAGCTTTATTACATATACAACATAGTGGTGGTAATAATGGTGAAATGGTGATAATAGTAGTGTTGATCATGTTAGTAATGATGGTAGTGATGGTGATTATGATGGTGGTGATGGTTGTGATGATTATAGCAAGAATGGTGATGGTGATGTGAGCGGTGATGATGCTGATGATGATAATTATGGTGGTAATGGTCGTGATGAGGGTGATGGTGGGAATGATGATGGTGGTTTTCACGGTGAGGATAGTGATGATGGTGGTAATGATGGTCGTGATGGTGGATGTGATAATGGTGATGATTATGGCAGTTTTTGTGGTGTTGATATTGATAATCGAAATTATGGTGATGATTGTGATGATTGTGGTGGTAAGAAGGGTGATGGTGATGTGGGTGCTGATAGTGATGATGATAATGATGGTGGTGGCATTGATGATGGTGGTGTTGATAGTAGTGGTGTTAGTCGTGGTATTGATGGTGATGAGCTTGATCGTGGTGGTGATGATGCTGATGGTAGTTTTGACGGTGGTGATGACAGTGATAGTGATGATGGTGGTAGTGATGACTATGGTGATTATGATGGTGGTGGTGGTGTTCACGGTGTGATGGTGGTGATGATAACAGTGGTGATGATAGTGATGATGGTGGTGATAGTAGTGATGATGATGATGGGGTGATGAAATTGATGATGGGGTGATGATGATGATGATGATGTTGGTGATGATGGTGATGATGGTGAATCGCAGGGATGAGGAGGCGTGGTGATGCAAGCGCGCACTGCAGGAGAAGGAGCAGACCCACGAAACTGCGATTTGAACTTCACTGGCGACATCGCTCACACACGCAACCTGGACCTCACCCTCCCCTCCATGCTCACCTCACCCTTCCCTCAATTTTCACCCCACCCTCCCATCACCTCACCCTCTCTCTACCCCCTCCTTCACATCCTCTCCTCTCCGCACCCTCGCCTCACCCTTCACCCTCACAATCACCCTCCATACTCACCCGTCACCTTCCCTCACTTTCTCCTCCATTCTCGCCTCACCTTACCTCAACCTCACTTCACCCTCTCCTCACCATCCCCCCTCTCCTCCGTTTATTGGGTTTCTGTCTCGGTTTCTTGGGTTTCTATCTCTCCTCATCCTCAGGATGCACGACTCAGATCCACAATCTTCAATCGATCATTACAATACCCCAGACACATCCCAGGGTAGAGAGGCTGCAAGAATCTCTTCCGAACCTCGTGGATCACCTCCATGGAGTCAGCGCAGTAAAACGCCAGGAGCCCCCCCTCCCAGTGCAGGTAAAGCCCGATTCTGCGGGGGGAGGGGGCCCCCCTCTCCGACAGTACTGTCTTCACTCCACCATGAAACACTGAGAAGCTGTTATAACATTTCTCTAAACACCAGGACGCGTCACTCCATCCCAGCTGCTGTGTACTACCACTCCCTTTCTGTGGGATCGTCCAGTACGCGACTCCAACCCGCCACCACCGCGCGTCCCCCACGTCCACCTCCCAGTAGCGGTAGCCCGACGAGAAGCTCTCACAGCACATGGCTTGTGCACAACTATTAAACCGGTGTGGGTGATCAGGGCGACCCTGGGAGGCAGGGCTCAGCGTCATCGTCCTGAGATCCGAGGAGATCTGGAGGTAGTTATTAGCTGAGTTCGTGTCCAGAGTCGGCGAGCGTCCGTCTTTGACAACAGCGATGACAACATCACAACAGAACACCATCATCCACCATCAACATTACTATCACCAACTATCTTTACCATCAACAAAAACATCACAAACATACACATCACCAAGCATCCTCGCCATCAATATCATCGTAGACAACAATATATACATCACCATCACCACTATCATCAACACTGAACATCAACAACATTGCTATAGCAATAAGCGACATCACAACCATCATCACCACCACTAGCACCATCACAAACAATCACCACTATTACAAACAATCACCACCATCACTACAATTACCACTATTTCCATCACCACCATCTTCATCACTATCACCAAAATCACCGACACGACCAGCATCATCATAACCATCACAACGACCATTAAAACCATCATCACCACCATCACTACCATGACCACCATAACCAATATCATCACTACTACCATCAGCGTCATCAGCAAAACCATCACAACGTTCACCACCCATATCACCAATGTCACCATCATTACCATCACCACGACCGTCGCTGACATCACCACGACCAACACCATCACCAATGCTATCACTATTTCCATCACTCACATTATCACTAACATCAGCATCATTACCACCATCCTCATCACGACCACTATAGGTAACTTGGATTCTAGTGCAGTGTGCTAACCACTATACCACCACTCCCCCCATGCATAAATGCACAGACACCTTCACAGGCATACACTCCATCTCAACATCACAATTACCCCTGACTCGTAATGCTGATTATTTACCCAAGAACACCACACTAAGTCTCATGGCTCTGTTCAGTAGGGTCCTGGAATGAGATGTGAACAAAGACTAAGATCCTTTTGTAGCCTTCACAGACTATTGGGTGGCCAGCACCACGTCTGACCACCTTTGTCTCCCTAGTGGCGAGTTTGTTTACACACCGCATCAGGTTCCAGGATGTAAACATAGAAATATCCCCTGTGTAGCCTTTACAGACTGTTGGGGCAAATCAGCACCGTTGAAGGTTGGCACGACACACGACGGGATGGGTGGCCAGAACTACGCCTGGCCGCCTTTGTCTCCCTAGAGGTGACGTTTATAAAACTCCAGGTAATTATTTGAGTCTGAGTCGACCTCATGCACACACACGGGGATACTTTATTGTCAAGATGGCCCCATCACCCATGATTCACACTGAAGAACTCACACAGGAGTTTGACTCCAGTTGTCTCCAGGACTTTCAGTGAGGCAATGTCCTCTTGACTGGGAGCTGAGGGTGGATCTGCTGTTACCCTCCCTGTCCTGTGAAAGCAGAACAGACAAGGCTACTGTCTCACATAGAGCATCGTCACTCAGGATAATCACAGCTCCATAACATAGACACTCATCACAGCGTCATCGCACGTGGGATCATCACAGCTCCATCTCACAGGCACTCATCAAACAAAGCATCATCACTCATCTCACAATTACAGCATCACAAAACAGATTTACTATTACCACATACAGAATAACGACGCACGGTATCAAAAGACAGCATCACCACACATAGCATAATCACACAGCATTACCACACACAGCATCATCACACACAGCCTCATTACACAGCATCATCACCGCGCAGTTTCACCACACAGCCTCATCACACAGCTTCACCACACACAGCCTCATCACACAGCTTTACCACACACAACCTCATCACACAGCTTCACCACACACAGCCTCATCACATAGCTTCACCACACACAGCATCATCACACAGCATAATTACCACACAGCATCACCAGACACAGCATCATCACCACACAAAATTACTATCACCACACATAGCATAATTACGTACGGCACCATCACACAGCATTCACTACACACAGAATCCCCACACAGTCAATGTCTCACTGCCCGCACCCCACACTTAGTCCCATTTTGTCGTGTGTCGAGTCGTGAGTGATAGTCGTCTTTTACCTGTGCGTCTCCTTCAGGTGGACCTGTGGGAGAGATAGAGATGCATTACTGTGTCTCTACCTCCGATCCCTTGTGATCAGTGGAGTTCCCACTGCAACACCGTGGGTGGAATGTAAACTCCAAAGTCTTTGCTTATGACCCCATGATCACCAACACTGACTTACGGGGCAAATATTTCAGTGAGACCAGTTGAAAGTCAACTATAAATTACTATTTTAAAATTGTCCACGTCAGGCCCACTGAGCGATAGAGCTCTTCAGAAGCAACCTGGCCACAAATGATAGCTCACGAAGTGGTTAATCTCGTGGAAATTTACAGCAGCCCAATACTCTAAATGCACGTGTGAAAAACTAGAGGACACGGAGAAAAATCAATGAGACCATGGAGAGAGACATGCAAACTCCAAATATATAGGGACGTCATGGTTGAGATCAAATCCACGACCTCCGGTATCCAGGCGAGGTAGTTAACATCTCGCCACCCCTATGAGGACCAACACTGATTTGCAGGGCAACTATTTCAGAGTGAGACCAGTTGATATTGATCTGTGTTGAGATTAATTTCTGTCGTCAATGCACACGTGGCAGATCTTACAGAAGTGGTGGTGAATACACAAGAATATCATTAATACGCGTATGAGACCTCGTATTTATTTAACTTCCATAATAGGAACACTGAAGGTCGCGCATCCAAGAATAGGTCCACAAAGCAAGAAGCAGAGATGACATCGGCTCGTGAGCAGGCGCTGGTGGATTGTTGCATCGCGGCATCATGAGATGTGACAACGGCTTGGGGAGGCCTTCATCTATCAGTGGTTAGATCATGGCTGATGATAATCATGAATACCGTGTACAATGTTGTTGTAGGGTTTATTTAAAGATGCAATTCCAATAACATTTAGTTTATAATCACAATGACACAAACTTAATGGGAATCTGTTAAAGGACGGGAGAGAGAATTCATTTAAATGAGAAAATCTGAGCTGGCCTTCCAAATGGCAGCCACTGGAGCTGCGATGCGAGTCCATGAGTGGAGCTGTGTTCTCAAGCCCAGTGGATGCGAGCTCACATTCACGAGCCTCCCTCTGCTGCTGGTGAGAGGGCTCTGTGTCAATAGCGACACTGGAGACTCATCGCTCACCTGTAGGAACGCGAGCGAGTCCCTCTCTTGCGCTAGGGCCTGCAGGCGAGTGGCTGCTGCCTGGAGCTCGCTGATCTCGCGCTGGTAGTGAGCGATCTTCTTCTCGATCTGGGACAGCTGCTCACGCCCTTTCTGCTCCGCTTGCTCTAAAGCCGCCTTCTCCTCCGCATCCAACGCTGCTCTCGTGCGGGCGGATCTGACCGAGATTGAGGCATTTTCATCTGCCATGGATCCCTGCAAAGAGAAATAAATGCCACCTCTGTTCATTAAATGTCTGGTCCTTTGTGAAATGACATTCGAGGTCAGTGTGACCCGAGTGCAACTCTTAAGGTGTCCAGACAGTGATACGAGTTTGCAGCACTGAGGCCTCAGTCTTCCTCTGATAGCGCTGCTGTGCATTTTCAGGACAACACGATTCGGGGGCTGTGAGGCATTGAAATCATCAAATACCATCAGGAGTACATTTAGGGTCTGTGACATTCTCATTGCACAAGGCTATCAGGACGAAGCGAAGGAAAATTTGTAAAGGGCCTTAATGAAATGGTAAGTTAGGCCAATTCCTCTTTAAATGAATGTTTTGAATGTGAGAAAAACACACATGTATGTGTAATAATGGACTCGACTACGGTATCTGTCTCCGTGTCCTTTATTCGGGTTCGTATACTCTTCCCACACGGCTCTCTCTCAGAACTCCCCGCTTGGCAGCTCCACTGCTGCCTTCGCTCCCGTAGCCTTCCGCGCTCCTGCAGCTCCGCTGCAGGTCCGTGGTGCAGCCCTCCGGCTGCTCTCACAGCAGCTCCACCGCTGCTCCCCGTTCCTCCGTGCTCGGTCACCGCTGGCTGGCGGTGCCGAGTCTTACCGTGTGTGGCGATCTCGCCACTCCCCAACCTCAGCCCTGCGTGGCCTCTGTGGCGATCTCGCCATCTCCAACCTCAGCCCTGCGTGGCCTCTGTGGCGATCTCGCCACTCTCTGTCTCTATCCCCAACTCTCTCTTCCACACCGCTGGCTGGCGCCGTCATGAGCCCCTCAGCCACCAGGCTGAGGCACGGCGACCACCCAACGTGTTCTCCACTCTTCACTCCCCCGACTGACCCAAATGTCTTCCTGTCTCCCCGCTATAACATCTCCCCCCACGTGACGTAACTCCTCCCCCCGTGACGTCACATCCGGGAGGTCGTTTACGCCCACATTACATATGGATGAAGAGATGGGATCATGAAACCACTTGCTATACTGCCACCTGGCCACCCCAAAGCTTGAGTGATGTCAGTAAGATGGTGTACAACAGTCTGTGTGTGATCCATCAACTCTGCCACCAGAGTGGTGGATAAGAGGTACGTACCACCTCATCTGACCAAAATAGATAACAGACGTTGAAGTGGTAAGTTGTATGGAGATATGTGAATGTGGAATTTACACCACTGATTGAGTTTCTCAGTGGAGATGAGAACCACCTCTTTACTCGTCCTGACGGTTGTGGGTTTCGTCCCACAATGTGTTTGGAGCCAATGGAAGTCGACGTGAATGAATGTAGTTGTCCTCCATCACAAACCCTACTCAGAGTGGAGTCACGGGGTCACAGAATCAGGCCCAGACGCGGTACCTGCACGTCCCTGCGAGCGGCCTCCATCCGCCTCACGGACTCTTCCACTTCCCTCCTCTTCTCCTCCACCGCCCGTGTCTCCTCTCCCACTTGTTTCTGTGAGAGACGTCACCAGGGGAGACTCCACTCACTCTCTGAGCATCCCCTCTCACCCCAACTCCATGCAAACTCATCCACAGTGACGGGGTCAATAGCCCCGGTGCAGCAATGGAGGCTGGGGGAGCGAGCGCTGCAGGGAACTGATTTCACGAGGAGCTCAAACGTGCGCAGGGCTTCCTAGGTTGTGGGTGAAGCTACCTAAGTAGTGGGTATGGCTACCTGAGTAGTGGGTGGATTACCTGAGCAATGGGCAGAGCTACCTGAGTAGTGGGTGGGGCTACCTAAGTAGTGGGTGGAGCTACCTGAGTAGTGGGTGGAGCTACCTGAGTAGTGGGTGGAGCTACCTGAGTAGTGGGTGGAGCTACCTGAGTAGTGGGTGGAGCTGCCTCAGCAGTGGGTGGAGCTACCTGAGTAGTGGGTGGAGCTACCTGAGTAGTGGGTGGAGCTACCTGAGTAGTGGGTGGGGCTACCTGAGCAGTGGGTGGAGCTACCTAAGTAGTGGGTGGAGCTACCTAAGTAGTGGGTGGAGCTACCTGAGTAGTGGGTGGAGCTACCTGAGTAGTGGGTGGAGCTACCTGAGTAGTGGGTGGAGCTACCTGAGTAGTGGGTGGAGCTGCCTCAGCAGTGGGTGGAGCTACCTAAGTAGTGGGTGGAGCTACCTAAGTAGTGGGTGGAGCTACCTGAGTAGTGGGTGGAGCTACCTGAGTAGTGGGTGGAGCTACCTAAGTAGTGGGTGTGGCTACCTAAGTAGTGGGTGGAGCTGCCTCAGCAGTGGGCAAAGCTACCTGCATAGTGGGTGGGGCTGCCTCAGCAGTGGGCAGAGCTACCTATGTAGTGGGTGGGGCTAACGGCGTAGTGGGTGGGGCTAGCTGCGCAGTGGGCAGGACTACTGGAGTAGTATGTGGGGCTATCCGAATGGTGGGTGGGGCTACATGAGTCGTGGGCGGGGCTATCTGAGTAGTGGGTGGACAGGGCACCAGAGTTTTAAGATGGTATCTGCCTTGCCTGCGATACAGGAGGTCGTGGGTTCGAACCCGACCCTGATGCCTGTATACAGTCGACCCTTCCACATCGTGGGGGTTACGGGCACAGGCCCCTCGTAATCTGGAAAAACAGCATAAAATGTTTTGGTCCCCTTGGCGAGTGAAGCGGTACAAAAACATAAGAGAAACGCGAGATACAAAGATCACTGCGAGATCCCTGCGAGATATCACGTGAGAGGCTGTCTTAAACACACTTGGTGTCCTCCAAACCAGCGCATAGAACCGAGGTTCTTTTCGCAAACTAACTTAAAAAATGTTTAACTTAAAAAAAATACGTTTATATTTATGGTAATTACAACTATAATGAGCCAAGAATGTCTGTGTGTCCCGCGCGTGACGTCACTCCACATGAGGCCATTCCCCCTTCATTAATATGCATGAACAGGTGGGGTGCTGCACCCCTCCCCTCATTAATAACCATGAGCGGGTGACGTCACTCCCCATGCCGGACCCCTCCCCAATAACCATTAGCGGGTTACGCCACTCCATATGGGGCAAACTTTCCCCCCCCCCCCATCAATAATCATGAGCTGAACAATTTTTTTATTGAATATTTCAGATTTACTGCATATACATCCGTTGTTGGACGGGCAAACAAGCTAGTTAAAATATTAAATACATGAATATTATACAGTACTGTACATATAATTTACGCATTTGAGTTACTAAACTTTTTGCGTGTCGTCTGCAGATTTCGCAAAATTCCCCAAAACTCCCGATAAATTACCCTTTTATTTCTTATGCTGACCCCGCGATGTATCGAAACCGCGATGGGGAAAGTCGCGATGCAGAAGGGTCGACTGTACTATGAATCTACCCTTCAAACACACGTTTGAAAAATAAATTGACGGGCATGTAAAATATTAAATCCACTTTAAAATTAGTCTGAGCCACTTGCTGTGGTTTCATTATTTTTAGATGTTGCTGTTGACAAAGTTCATCAGCTGATGCTGCGGTATTGTGGGTACTACTCGGTGACCGTTAGAACCTCCTCCTCACCATTCGTTTGTCGTGCTCCACCTTCAGAGTGACGAGCTCGTGCCCTCGATGATCCACAGTGATGGTGCAGTCCCTGCAGACGAGGCGTCCATCGTTAACGCAGTAGAAGCGGTACTCGTCTCTGTGCTCCATACACCGTCGATTCTCCAAGTTCACACCGGGCGACACAAGGACGTGGTCACTAAATTTTGTCAACTTCTGGTGGGGCGCGACGTGGGTCATACAGAACGACGTCTCACACTTGAGGCAAGTCTTCACTGCGAGCTTCCTGCAATAATCGCAGCAAACAGCAGAAGCAGTATCATCGGTAGATGTGGGCTCAGCCACTTGCAGCTGCTCGATGAGGTTGGTAAGCGTCACGCTCTTGTTCAGCTTGGGCCTCTGAGGGAAGGTCACTCGGCACTGTGGGCAGGAGAAGGACTCGGCCGCATCCCAGGCGCCCTCCACGCACTTGAGACAGAACGAGTGGCCGCAGCTGAGCGTGCAGGGGCAGCGGAAGGCGTCCAGGCAGATGGGGCAGGTCAACTCCCCTGGAGCCTCGCGACCGCTGGGAGCCGCACTCGCCATGGCCCCGTGGCTCCACTCAGAGAAGGGGCACTGGCTGGAGCTCAGGCAGTAGCTTGCTGGAGCTCACACAATCTCTGCCAGTCGCTCCGGCAGACTGGCTGTAGCTCCGGCAGTATTTAGCTATAGCTCACGCAGTCTCTGGCTGTAGCTCATGCAGTCTCTGGCGACATCTGAGACACTAAACCAGAAACAAGCCACCAAAATGTGAGGCAGGTTAAAGTACAAAGTCTTTCAGTTTGATTTGCATATCATGAGGAACACCCTGTAATGTGTTGACTTGTGACCGGGTAGAGATGTCTCGGCGCAAGAGATGGCTAGATAAAGAGTCAGCTCACCTTATCTCAAATCACCTCATCTCAACTAACCTCTTGTCAACTCAGCACATGTCAACACACTTCTGTGAAGGTTGGTCCATCTTGGACCTATGCAAATTCCCTGTTGTTGTCCACACAGATACTCTCACAAGCAACAGTGTTGTATATGTCGGGTTATGAAATTTTGATAAAAATAATAAGACTGAAATGAAGATTCGAAAAATTCATAAATCCCGGAAAATATGCTAATTTATGTAGATATACTTGTATTAATTTATGCAAATGTTTGCGATTATGTTAATGTGAGCAGTTATGATTATTGGGCTTAGCTTCGCTGCCCAGAGTTGTATCAATCGGGATAAAACAATTATTCTTTCTAAAACATTTATTGATTATATCTTAGTGTGTTATGTTAGGTCTCCAAATTAATATCTCAACGCAGGATACAGTTCTCAAAAAATAAGATAGTTACGCATGAACTTAGGAAAGAACCACTCAAACACTTATTTTAAGCAATTTTAATTCTAAACAAAAACAAAAACATATGCGAACTCTCATGCTTGAAATTCTCCCCGGTACCATCGGGGAAATTTCCCTCATTGAGCAGTACCTTTAACCATCAATGATTGCGTTGTTTCACTTTGGCCACCGGACATATAATTAATTCCACCGCGTGACACGAGCATAGACGACGATAGGGAGAGTTCTTAAAACAGGCATGCAACGATATTCATATGAAAGGCGATAAGCATATTATTACATCCCGAAGGTAAAGTATATGTCAATTGATTCATTGTGAAGATTATGCAATTAGCGAAAACGAATGACTAAAATACTTCTAACAATCGTATTCATGTAACTCGACGGGCAGAAACTGCTTTTCACAATCAGTTGATATTTAACGCACCACCTTGGAATGGCGACCCTTTCCGAAACACAAAGATAACTTTTTGGAACAATCTTATTCGTCCCGATATGCGTGTTGTGTGCATGTGTCTTCTTTGATCAATTCTTCGCGTAAAGTAGACGCCGAGGTTGGGCATTCCTTGTACCAAAATTTTGTTTGTTCCCTACGGAGCAGTGAGTGTGGGCGTGTCATACAAACGGCTTCGGAGAATTTCCCTCTCGCTCGGGCGTGGCTGCAGTGAACCGCCGGCTTTCTCTCTCCGCAGATGAGCTGCGTCGGCACGATGTTGTCCTTGAAGAGGCTCGGTCGCTCGACGCTCGGTGGCGCCCGGTGCTCGGCGGCGCTCGCTCACTCATGCGCTGGCGGGCTGGCTCCCGTGCTCTATGGCCGTTTTCAGCTGTTTGTCCGCAGCTGGATGACGAGTCAGCACGACGCTCGTCGTCGTGGTGCGCGATGATTCCGTCTTGGTTCCCAGCTGGTGCAGGTCGGTGTGTGGTCAAACACACGGCGCATTCAATGGCGCTCTCCTCTTCCTCATGGGCGGCTGGTCCAGGCTATTTCCACTGCACCGTTCTCTCTCCTTGCTTTCGCCTTTGGCGTGCAGCTGACAGCTTCACACGGGCACCCGCTGATGCCTCTCCCGCCCTCATTTCAGGGCTGCGCTGGCTCAGGCTCTTTCACGAGAGTGATAGCTGGAATTTCGCAAGCTTTACTCGCACTTAACCACACATCGTCACTTCGTTCTGCGAGAAACGACACCGACCATCGGTATTTGATTCATTTGGTGAAGTTACATAGATAGACAGATACAATACAACATAATATATATGAGTTGTATAAGGGTGAAATAAAATAAGTAATAATAAAGCCACTAATAGATTGCAGTCTTATCACGTTGATTTGTTCTTTTTGCTGAGTTTAAAACTTTTACCGTTAAAGAAAACCGTTAAAGAAAACGCGAGTTGTAACGTTGTTTGTCTCTGCTCTGAGCGTGTGTGTTTTTTCTCTGACCCTGCATATTTATTGTGAATGTCCAGAATGTTTTGGAAGGTCGGGGTCATATAGGCCCTTTGTCAATCTGGAGATTTCCAGATAGTCTCTAACCTCTCTTTGCCTCGAAGTTTGTTGTTTAATGGCATTTTACGACCTCCAGATGCTTTGTGTGGCTTTTGAGGGGTAGAGTTGAGAGTTTTTGGGGTATCTGTTTATATATATATATTTTTCCTATTATTAATAAAAAAAATTATTTGCGAATTATTCTTAATAAGAATTTGGAAAAAGGGGCATAAATACAACAACAGCTACCCTTCAATTACACAAACTCACGAGCCCCACCGTCATGCATAAATAACGTATGTTGTCTCCTAACAAAGTTTAACTCACCTAATAAGCTCGTCCAGACAGTCCAGAAAGGACGTCGGAGTTTCAGTTAAAAAAGTCCCTCCAACCTCACTTCCGTTCTTCAGTCCGGTTTCAAACAGGTCTACAGGGTTCACGAAGTTTGTCCAAAACATTGGCCACGAATAATGAGCCTGGCACGGTGCACCGCAGGGACTCGCCACTCAAAGCAGGTGGCCTCTATGGGCACCGCAGGTGTCCTCAACAGTCTGAAACGAAAAGATCTGCTGCAGGGTTGTGTTTGGGTTTCTCGCACATTCAAAAACACTAATTTGAAAAGGAATTGACTGAGCGTCCCAAGAAAATATTTGAATAGTGACTCATTGAGGCTTTACTTGTTGAAGGACAATTTAGGCAGTTTTTCCTTCGTTGAAAGTGACAGTATTTATATATAAAGGTCTCCGCGCGCGCTTGCGGGGGATTTGGCTCTCGGACGGTGGGGTTTACGACCGAAATAATTTTCCAGCCGGCACTCCCTAAGCCCCGTGGTGGGAATAGGCTATTCCGTTTTCACGTCTGTAAATTTTAAAGTCGTTTAATTAACGAATTAATGGCATTTTTATTTTTATTATTTACTTATTGCGCGACATCGACCGCACCAACTCACGACAATTGCCTGGGGGGGGGGCGGACCCTGCCAAGTGATGCGCGTTCGCTCCAGCTCACGGGGGACATTTTATTTTAGGCGTTTAACATGGAATAAATATACACATCACGCTGCCGATTTCTTTTCACAGTGTGATGTTCTCTTCCCCCCACCCCAATGCGTGCAGTTACTGGTATAAAGTCCTTAGATATTACTTTAGTATTATTAAAGCGCTTACATAGTATTATTCTGCCTCGGGCGGGGGATGGTGGGGGGTGGGGCAGGGGTAGCGGCCCAGCCCGCAGCCTGGCAATATCTCACCTCCTCCTGCTTGCCAATCAAGGCGAGGCCGCGGGCTCTGCACGGGACGAGGCGTCACCACGCCAATGTAAAGTACAATTTTATTGCATCTTTCGCTAAGAACTGTGGTTTATTGTTTACTATTATTAAAGAAATAAGTTTACAAATATTACAATTATAATGTTCGTGTGCAGAAACTACATGTGTGTCCCTAAAGTCCATGTCTGTGTGTGTGAGTCCATATGTGTTTGTGTGCGTGTAAGTCGATGGGTGTCTATGCTTGTGGGTCCATGTCTGTGTGTAAGTCCATGTGTGTGTCTGTTTTTTTCAAACGGACAACGCCTCATGTGTTTGTGTGTGTGTGTCAGTCCATTTGTGTACGTATCAGTCGCTGTGTGTGTTAGTCCACATGTGTGTGTGTTGTATATGTTGGGTATCGAAATTTGTTATGTTGTATGCGTGCGTGGGTGAAATTATTATGTTGTATATGTGGGTTATGAATATTCAGTGAAAATAATAATAATTAAATGAAATTTGGCCAAATGTGTAATTATCCGGAAATATGTTAATTTATGTAATTACGCACATTTTAATTATGCCAATTCGAGAGGTAATCGTATTAATTATGCGAGTGGGTGTAATTATGATAATGCAAGTCGTTATGATAACCAGACCCCGCCTCGGTGACGAGGGTGGGTTATCGATCGGAATAAGGCAATTAATCGTATGCAGTTATGCAGGTGTGGTGTAAGTATGCAAGATTAACTTAGATTAACTCGGCATCGTTGTCTAGGTTCGTCTCATTCTCGCTTCAACATTCCCAGAGTGTGTATTCGTGGTTATATTTTAGGTCCCCGGTTCACCCCGTTATCGCTTTAACGTTTACTGAGTATGTATTAGTGTGTTTATTAAGGTCACCAAGTTCAGATCTCAACGCAGAAGCAGATCTTATGCATAGATTTCAGGAAAGAATCACACAACCACTTCTGTATTGATCAATTTATTACTAATTCAACCTTAACTATGATATAGTATGCGAACTCTCAATCCCGGAACGTCAACACGGCATCAATACAGTATCATCGAGTGTCTGATTTCACTTTGACAACGGCACATGGATCCCGCATAACGCGATGGTTCTTAGTGAGAGAGAGAGTCGTTAAAATATGCAAATACTATGCTAAGAAAACCTTAACGTTAATGAATGATTATACTCAATATTGTTCACGCAGTACCGCACTCCTTATTGATCATACGCAACCCTTATCACGTTGTTAGCACCTTGGGTCACGGGACAGTTGAATATTCTGTAGAGGATGCGAGTACGTGCGGCGATTATGACTGAAAGATACTTGAAAGATTATACGGCGATAAAAAAAACACAATCAAAAACAGTTATTATTCTTAAAGGCACCAATCTCAACAGATACATCGGCAGGTTATCTGACAACAGAACGGCTCGGAGTAAGGGCCTGCGACGGTGCTCCTTTTCCGAAGATCGTTATCTTATACCAAGTTTACTAATTGGGGACCAGATCACCTGATAAGGATCCGGTGGGCCACCACTCCCCACGTGAGCGTGGCTCGGCGGAAGGAGGTGCCAAGAATCAGTTCGTATTGATGGATCTGTTGGGAATTTATGCGAT